TCACTTTGCTATTGTCGAAAGAACAACATTGCCCAAGCTACACCACGGGGAGGTGTGAGGTATGAACTTGTGCGGACCAGAGCTAGATCAACTCACCGTTTGTAGCCCTGTGTGTGTATGTGTGTATGTCTGTGTGTGTATTCCCTCTAATCCCTGTTGACCGGCAGTGTTAATATGGAAGAAGCGTATTTATGGTCATTGTAGACAGTTTTAGTCCGGGAGTTGGTTTTAGTCCGGGAGTCAGTTTTAGTCTCTCACGCTTCGTATGTCATTCCGTGCTTCACGGGCAATTTCCTTTCTTAGATCGTCCTTGGTTGGTTCTAACATGATTCCGCCTTTTTCGGGTTTTTCTTGTTTTCCGAGGGAGATAAATCCGCATTAATTTCCGTTCCTGGTTCGATGTTGACTCCTTCCACGCTGGTTGTGGTGAAGTCGGTTTCATGTCTACCATCTGTCACTAAATTGCCATGGTGATCTGGGACGAGGCTGATGTGCGAAGTCGCTGGTCCACCGAGCGCTCCGTGTGCGAAAAGAGAATGAAAAAAATACGAAAGGGATCAGTTTCAAGAAGTGACAGATTTATCAGATTCCCCAACTAACCATACTCAAACAAAGTAAGAATATACAATCTATATTACGACTTTATGGTTACTTGGGTACTCATATGGCCGCCAGAATGGGAGATGAGATTACAGCGCTTGCAGAATAAAATAATGCGTTTGATTTTGAGATGTAATAGATTCACTTCCTCAACTTTACAACATTACAATGGTTGTCGGTGAAGCAAAGAATTGTATATTTTACTATGGTGTTCATTTTTAAAGTAGTTAACGGTTTGCTACCTCGATATTTGTGTGATCGAATTGAAAGAGGAAGTGACTTTCATAGATATAATACTAGAAACGCGGTTGAAATAAGAACACCACATTTCTTGACTTGTGCTTCACAAAATTCATTGTATTATAAAGGAATAAATGTTTTCAATTCGATGTCTAGACATATCAAACGTTCAGCAACACTTACAGAATTTAAAAGACACTACGTTTCACACGTTAAAACTGTCTTTTGAACAGTTATCCAGCGATTTTTTTATGAATTGACAAATTATGTATCTTGACGAAGTTATCTCTAACGGATTATTTTATATGGATAGCTGTCATAACGACTTTTATAATAATTATGTAGCACTGCAAAAACTATTTCTGTTCGCCACGATGGTAATGATAGATTTTTAATATTTGATTTAATAGTAGTAGATTTAAAAAAAAGTAGTCTACAAAGGTTTGAGCCTCGCGCTTGTATTACGGATATAGAGGACTGAATTTAACATTTGATAAAACAAAATGCAATTTTGAAGCTTATTTGGAAGATTCCTTGAGTTAGTAGTGTAAGTTTTGTGGCAAATGTTGGGGGTTCGTGAGCATTCCTAACATTGCTGAAAATTATGATAGCATCAGATTGCGGGGTTGCTAGTGTAATAGGATGTTGATTGTTCATTAACTCTTGATTGCTTAAAACTTATGAATATTTTAGTTGGACAAAAAGGCGAGCTAAGAGGTGGACGCCTGAGCTTTTCCACATTTATATCGCTGTGAAGCAACTGTAAACTCTAAAGGGAATTTACATATATCTGTAACTGTAACCAGTTCGATTTTGTTTGCTAACCTGGTTAAAATGTCATATTTAATTATCTTAAAGATAAATCGTCCAGCTCAAACCTTTGTAGGGGTAAGAGGTGGGACCATTAACATCATCTTTCATCGGTTGCGAAGTGAAGTATTTCTGAATGTGATGCGTTATATTCTTTAATGTTTTGATTTTATCCTAACGTTTTCTCAATGTTATATCACTGACAAACAGACACAACACATTGAACATTTATCATTGTAAACCCTTCCGCCATCTGTAGTATACACTAAACAGATGACTGTAGTGTGTAAACGTCAAACGCTAGGGAATTGATTATGTTCATCACAACTGGCGATACTACCAACTAAGAAACATTTAAATTGACCGTTAAAAGCGATTTTGGTGAACGTTTTAAGAGTGTTATGTCCGCTTGTCTGTGATCATACCTTCACTGTCGCAATTTCAGGTAATCTGCGAATGTTCTTGCATTTCTCTCAGGAACTTTTGATCTAACTGCAATTACTCTCTCATACTCGAAATGTGGCACGACCAAATTGGCACAATGACGCCCTATACACTCTCTGATCGAAGCGCAGGGATATTCATAAGTACAGTGTGCAAAAAAAGGAAAATTATAGCACTCAGATGCATAGCAACAAAGATGGTACAAATTCATTTTCTCCTTAGTTCCCTTTTGTAGCAAGGTGTATACGATGTACATCGATTTTGCGAACAAAATTACATCCATTGATGTAGTAGTTATTGTATCTGCTTTTTGCAGCTATTACATCATTATTTCATACATCAGCTTGAATTACTCCAACTCGGATTAACTTTTAATACCGTCCCTGTTTGTATTATCTGCAAAATGTTTGCTTAGAGTGATGGAGTATGATGAGCACCTCGCGAGGCCTCCGGATACGTTCAAAACTCGTCACCAATTGGTGGTTGGTGAGTAGTAGGCTCAGATGTAACATTCCTGACTTACGCCGATCTGGCTCTGAACATGGCCCCCATGAAGGACCGTGTCAACCCTAGCATGGCCTCCCTGCTTGCATAGATAACCATGGGATCACGATTGGCGACTACATACAACGAGTGGAGATAGCGACCCGAAGGGGGGACCCAACAGAATGGAGAAAAACGGAGAAAAAACAAAAAAGAAGAAAATTAGAAAACCCAAAAAAATATGAAGGAAGACGACAAGACGCCAGAAATTGAAAACGGAGGAGTGAACGTGTTTGCAAGGAGCGGGATATTGCAGAGATCACCAGTGTTGAACCTGGTACAATAACTATTACATCAATGGATGTAATTTTGTTCGCAAAATCGATGTACATCGTACAAGTTATATTACACAACCGATGACCATGACCATCTATAAACTTCAGGAAATACTTTTAACCTATTCTACGATTTTTTCTATACATCTAGCCGAAACAAAGTTCCCAAAACTTCCAGTAAGTTCACTAATCGAACGAATCGAAAGTTTTAAGATAAATACTGTACATTTACAATACTCACTGAGCTTCTATAATTTTGGAAAAACTTCAATGAAGTTCCTCGAGCTTCTCAGAATTCCTATAAAGTTCACTGCACTTCTTCAAAGCTCTCTTATTTTTTTTAGAATATCGATGATTTCCTGCGAAAGATCTATTGATTCAACTTTAACGAAGTACCTTGAAGCTTAAAGAGAAGTTTACCACTTAAAAAAAATAATTTCGATTCTATTTTTCTAAAAATATTGGAAAAAAAACTATCGAAAATTAAACAAAAAACACATTTTTTTTCTAATTTTCTAAAGAAAGTTTATGTGCAGAAATAAAATTGTAAGTCATCATAGCATAAAGTTGGACTCAAAATCCCACAAAACATCGACTTTTTCGGTTTTGCTGAGAATCCAATTTATTTTTCATGATGAGATAGAAAACAAATTTTTTGCATGTAATTTTTTTCTATCTAAAGAAGAAACTGATTTTCTTGGATTTTTGATAATTTTTCCCAATTATTTTAGAAAAATAAAAACGTGCCGAGAATATTTGTTTTATTTCTGGGGCGGTAAACATCCGCTTAAAGATGTTTATGATGTTTCTTCGAATAAAACAAAGTTCCCTTAACTTGTATTAGGTTCTTCGAAGTGTTTCAAAAGTTTAGAATAAACATCTAAAAATCCCTTAAGTTTAAAAAAAAAAGTCTTATTAAGTTAAAAAAAAATCCTTGAACTACAAACTTCGCTAACTTTCTCGCTCAATGTTCATCAAAGGGGTCCATTTGGTTCATAATGACATTTTGAAATGCTCAAATTTGACAAAGTCCTTTAACTGAACCTTCTTATAGTTAGCGGACTAGTTATAATATGTTTAAGTTAAAATTTTATCCATTAACGAACTAGATATGGATAATAAAATAAGAAGTATTAATGAATTATGTGATCATCTATTAGCCTACGATTACCGTAATATATGTTTTGAAATGAGTAATAATGATGTTTTGAGGTAGTTTTTGTAAGATTGAAAAACTCAATCATATTGTCATTTCTTACAGTCACTAGATTTCTGCTAAATGCTAGTTCCTAGTGCTACAGGTTTTTAGTACAGGCTCTAGACTCACCCTTTATGATAATGATTAATTCCGTCACGAGTAAAACAATCCCCCAGACTAAAACGTATTTGTTTTAATAAAATTTATGTTTTCCATCATTTCCGAAGTAATGAGCTGAGAGCATCCTACGCATTTTTTTTGTAGGGTAGCCATCACTTCCATAAATCAGTATTAAACAAGAAGTATATAAATAATTGAGTAAATCGATAAATCAATTCATAAAATAAATAAATAGGGGAAATGGATGTAATATTGGCCTAAATTCCCCTAATTTGGGATAAATTCAGCAATCGACTAAATTTTCAATAGTGACCAAAACTATCCATTAGTACCGTCCCAATGACGCGTTCATCTTGATAAAATTGATACATAGCAGATTTTTAGCGATGGACCCAATATTTGATCCATAGGCCAACATTAGAGCAATTTCTCCTACTTGAATAATAAAATAATAAATACATAGATAAATAAATAACTAAAAATAAAAAAATAAACTTATTTCTATTTTGGGTCATAATCATTGAGACCAACACATTGATTGTGATGTATACAACAAAAACATTACAACAACTCTATGTGGAGCCAGAGATTTCTAGGTATTCTAAGACAAAGTTGATTTCTATCACCAGCATAATTTGGCATTTTATTCAATAACTTTCTGATATTTCTACCGTTCACATAGTCTGCACTATGGATGGATGGAAAAATGTTTGATTTACTATATAACGTATTATATATAATATATATCTATATCTTTTAATTATTTTTAGGAGTTTTCGACATTAACAAAAGAATTGACACAAGCACGAGAGGCGCTGCTAGAACGAGATGAAGAGATAGGAGAGCTTAAAGCGGAAAGAAACAACACACGGGTACGTGATGCTCTAGAATAAACCAATTTAATAAATGCATGAGTTAGACGTATGTATATTAGTCAGCAAATAAGCAACAACTTTTTAGATCGGTGAATCTGCTTTTGTAAACAATGACTTCAATCACAAATATCAGCCTTGTATTGTTTAAAGCGAAATAATGCCCCTGTACCTGAGACATGCTCTGCTATGTTTTCCATAATTTAATTCGTTACTCAAATTAGAAATTTGTGGAATATGTACTGGCAAAAAAGAAAATTAAATGAAATATGCATTCATCGTTGCCAATAGATTTGTGATTAGATTTAATAACGTTATTCAACTACTATTTATTTTCAGCTGTTGTTGGAGCACTTGGAATGCTTGGTTTCGAGGCATGAACGATCGTTAAGAATGACAGTAGTTAAAAGACAAGCAGCGTCTCAAAGTGGAGTTTCCAGTGAAGTGGAGGTCCTCAAAGCGCTCAAAAGTCTATTCGAACATCACAAAGCATTAGATGAAAAGGTAATGCTCTAATAAAATAAAAGAATTAATTTAATTCACCTTCTCATAATATTATCGAATGCAAAAAATGTGCACAAGTTGCACAACAAAAAATTTTAAAATCTGTAGGTATTATGAACAGCAATCTTAACGACAACAATGATAATTTCGAATATGGGATCATGTGCTTGCTCACTATTATCTGGTACATTGAAAACAAAACGTACCGGTATAATTTAAATCGCTCTTATGGCTTTCACGGTGACGACCATTCTAATGAATTTGAATGTGAAATATACAATATAGAAGTAAGCCCGAGCAAAGTAAAATAACAACCTGATATCATTTTGAAAACAAGTCTTGTTATTCCAGATATTTATCAAGGATTGTTGCAAGCAAATTTCTTCCATAATACCACTGCCGGCCAGTAGGAGTTAGATTGAATACACACACACACACATACACACAAGTCTTGTTATTCCAGATATCATTTTGTTTTCAGTTTTTATCGCATAACTAATTTAGTTATCAACATCGACTAATTTTGTTATCAGTTATCATGAAAGAATATGAAATTATGCAAGGTTACTTTAAAACTTCAAATATTATCCGCATGGTAAGAAAAAAAAACACACTGCCAATCATCTTTCAAATCAGTTATTTTTTTTTTTTTTATATCCTATGAGTAATTTTATGTTATAATTTGTGTTGTGTTGGCTGCTTATTCAACTATGTTATCATATTCAGTCATCAAATCTTTGCTCGGGAGGTCATTGGAGTAAGGTGAGCAGAGGGCAAAGCAATCAGATTCAACAAGTGATTTTCATATGATTTTAACAGCCATCTGCCTTCACATTCACTTCCACGTGAGAGGTTGAATTTTTGAAAAATAAATAAGTCAAGTCACTAACCGCAGAGCCGTGTTGTTACCTACTTTTTGTTTTCATTGGCTGAGCATACATTCTATATTAAAGATTTCTCAATTGGGTTCTTCAAGGGAGCAAAATGACCAAGCTCTAGCAAAAATGTCAATCATTGTCCATAACAAATAATTATGCAAAGTTTCATACAAATCGGAGAAGGTCACGTTTCCAATTCGTCATTTGGCGTTGAACTGCTCAAGGGTAATTTCTTAAATTCTACTGCACTGGAACTATTGTAAATAAGTTCGATTACATTAACATAAATCAGCACCTTAGCGCCCCTCGCTGGCGGCAAGCTGTCAATTAATTAGATGTGTGTCAAATATCGAAGCTTTAAGTCTTGATACATGAGATCGATACATAATATCGTTGTGCTCAGAAAACGAATCTCTTAAAGATGATAATGTATTAAAATATATATAATTTTCTAAATTCAAGAATCCAATACAATGCTATAGTGATTAAAGGCAAGCAGTCTGAGTCACGTCTTCTTGAGTGACCGAATGGTTTTTGTTTGCTCTTTCCGAGGGGTTTCTACCTACATTGATTTAGTCGTTAGTGGTTTACGCACTTTGACAATTTGCAGTGAATTTAGTAGATTTTTCCTCGCAGCATTGATGATGATGATGATGGTCCCACCTCTTACCCCTACAAAGGTTTGAGCTGGACGAGTTATCTTTAAGATAATTAAATATAAACATTTTAACCAGGTTTGCAAACAAAATCGAGCTGGTTACAATTACAGATATAAATGTCCTGTTAAATATGCTATAGGCATCAACCAAAAACATTTCAAGGGTTAACTAGTTATCAAAAGTCCAAGTATAGTCCTCGACAATACTTCCATTTACACGTGACCTGGGATTTACACGTTTAAGCTTCCGCAGTGCCAGGACTATATCCAAGGAAACGACTTCCAGCCAATCCTTTACTAATTCAGGCTTTTGCCACAAAGCATTCAAATATGGACTCAGATTTCACGCAATATGTTCAGTTTTTCACGAAAAAACGTATTTTCATGGATTTATTTTAGTGCTCTAAAGTTCGATTTCAGCTCACTGAAAAATATGTTTGAATTTTTAAAATCAGACCTGAGTGAATTGATGCGTGAAAATATATTTTATGGAGCACACACAAATTTGGAGAAAAATGAGTTTAAATTCACGAATTTTAATCGGCTGTTCTACCAATGGATTTATGTTTCACCTTTTAAGAAAAAATATTGAATTTTGTAGAACAGACCTGGCTGAATCAATGCGAGAAATCATATGTTTTGAAGCACGCACATTTGTTGAGAAAAACGATTTAAATTCACAAAAAAAAAAATATTTTCTTGAAAATGTTTATTATGCTCTGGTTAGTTGGATTTTATCCCGCTCATTGACAAATATGATTGAATTTTGTAGAACAGACTTGGTTTAAGCTATGCGTGAAAGTAGATTTTTGAAGCATGCACAAAAAGTTTACTACTCAGTATGGTATCTTTAGCTCGATTTTGAATTGATCCTGCTGCCCAGCTAGAAGACTTTTTCAGTGTACAGCTAGAAGATGTATATATTTTATGGACCGCTCCCTTCAAGTTCTGCTGTGGTATATTAAATTTCACGGGCATAGCGGAATTAGGTGGGCTAATGAGCACACGGAGCGAAATGAGCACCCATAATTTTGATAAAACTATGAAATCTTAAATTTTTTCACCTAAGCAAATCCAGTACACAAACCAGAAAGCTTCACTATCAGATAGTGCTGTTGGTATGCGAAGATGAGCTCAAATTCGCGAGAAAAGGCCACAAGAAGTTTGTTTGTAAAAGTTTTGAAATCTTTATTGAAACCTAGTTTTTTTTTTGTTCTAAATAGAATTTGACCACTAGATGGGTTTTGTTGGATGTGGTGTAGAAATGGAGAGAGGAGTTTTAGACATGGAATCGATCTCCTGCAGGTGGCGATTGACCAGAAGCGCGTTGCATGTTATCGCCGGCAGTTGCAGCTTCAATCCACCCTGCTCTCTGCTGCGCGCCAACTGCTGCATCGGGACTCTTGCCGGCAGCCCGCGAAACAGAAAGGGCACCATCGGCGCTGTCAGTTTAACAGTATGTACACATTGTGGTGGAATCACCGACTAGATACCATACATTTGTAGTAATGAAGGTGATCAGCAGTAGTACCAACCGGTGGAAAAAAACGATTTTAAATTGACTCACTACTTGAATAGCCTATTGGTCCCAAATACATCCATAACCGTACCCCATTCTAGTCGAAATTCTAGTACTACACTATGTTTATTTTGATTCACTATGAAAGTTTGACAGATAAAATTCGTGGATTTTCCTTTGTTTCGAGGGGTGCATCGATTAGCTTGGGACCGAAGAGAGTACCAGAACTGAGCCAACAAGTTGAGCACGTTTCTTCGGGACCTTCTGGTCTTATGGTAGTACTTTCTGATAGAGGGTAAGGGAGTACATGCATCCATATAAGTTATGATATGATGGATACTAGAGCATCCCAGTTTATATTCACCATCTGCCGCACTGAGTTTGCAAAAATAACACCCAGCACCTTCACATTCTCTGTGGTCTGCAATCCTGGTATCGCTAGTGGATCCCCATTGATGAACCCGACATCGATAGCCAGCTATTTCCTGCAGATTTAGTTTGCCCCGGCCACGATCTCGAAGCTGCCAAACAGCTGATAAATCAGGTCGATCGTTTGTGTTGAGGTGGCAACCACCGTGATGTCGTCTGCACACGCAACGCGATTCAGTAACTCATGAGAGACCCAATCGAAAGCGTGGTCGAGATCGAAAGAGATCATCTTCTCTTTCTGCTTTCTCACGATCAGTTGGGCCACAGGAGCCTTGAGCGAGAGCGTAGGTTGAAAGATGGATCGATAGGTATTTGCGCACTTTTGCGCGACGCTCAGTACTCGATGTATCAGGAGTATGTGTTCCAGTCGGCTCTTCATCACGCGGAATTGGACGGTACGATCTTGCTGTCTCATCTCTTCTTTACTAACACGATTTTACCATCGGCAAACTCTGAGGGGAGCTCATCCGTCATTGCTTCATTGATAACGAAGTAGAGCCAACAATCAATACGAAACTAACGATTTTAAATTGGCTCACTACTTGACTAGCCTATTGGTCCCAAGCAAACGATTAACGTACCCCATTCTAGTCGAAATTTTAGTACTACACAATGTTTGTTTTGATTCGCTATGAAAGTTTGACAGATAAAATGAGGGATTAGTGGATTTTCCTATGTTTCGAGGGGTGAATCGATTAGCTTGGGACCGAAGAGAGTACCAGAGCTGCGCCAAAAAGTTGACACATTTCTTCGGGTCCTTCTAGTCTTAGAGTTACCACTATGGTAGAGCCCCCGATAGATGACGTCAAAAGGTAAAACTACCGGCAGGGCATCTATGCCCGGTGATTTTCGTTTTTGTGACGTTAGAATGGCGTTTTTCAATTCGCCGATGGTGATTTCTGCCATCACGGCAGCATTGGCTTCGTCGTTTTCGGGTACTGCTCTCTCGGTTTCAAAAACTAAATCTTATCTAAGTATAAAGGGAATTAATCGTTGCAATTGAGGATTGCAACGATTTTTGCCAGAAATTATTAATTATTTTGTTGGACATTTGTTCTAAAGTCTCAACATTCGAAATTCTATGTACCTCGGTAGTACCAACAATCAATACGAAACTAACGATTTTAAATTGGCTCACTACTTGACTAGCCTATTGGTCCCAAGCAAACGATTAACGTACCCCATTCTAGTCGAAATTCTAGTACTACACAATGTTTGTTTTGATTCGCTATGAAAGTTTGACAGATACTATGAGGGGTTATTGGATTTTCCTATGTTTCGAGGGGTGAATCGATTAGCTTGGGACCGAAGAGAGTACCAGAGCTGAGTCAAGCACGAAGCACGTTTCTTCGGGACCTTCTAGTCTTAGAGTTACCTCTATGGTAGTACCAACAATCAATACGAAACTAACGATTTTAAATTGGCTCACCACTTTAGTAGCCTATTGGTCCCAAGCAAACGATTAACGTACCCTATTCTAGTTGAAATTCTATTACTACACTATGTTTGTTTTGAT